CTGAGAGCGCGCGCCCTGCTCGCTCCCAGCACACATGCGGTACTCACGGAAAGTTCCTGGTCCGCTCTTTCGATCGGGACTTTTCCCGATCATGTGACCACCGTGAACTCACCCATCCATGCCTCCATGTTTTATTTTGTTGAGAAATCGCTTTGAAAAGCCCCACCAAAGCATTTCTAGCCGTGGCCATCTTAACCCCTTCACGCAAGCCGCACGCAAATGTGCGGCCTCCTGGCGTCTGGGCATAGACGCCGAGTGGCCGCACATTTGTGTTCAAGTAACAAAAAAACATACGTGCTGAGAGCGCGCGCCCTGCTCGCTCCCAGCACACATGTGGTACTCATGGAAAGTTCCTGGTCCGCTCTTTCGATCGGGCCCTTTCCCGATCATGTGACCACCGTGAACTCACCCATCCATGCCTCCATGTTTTATTTTGTTGAGAAATCGCTTTAAAAGCCCCACCAAAGCATTTCTAGCCGTGGCCATCTTAACCCTTTCACGCCGGCCGCATGCAAATGTGCGGCCTCCTGGCGTCTGGGCCTAGACGCCGAGCGACCGCACATTTGCGTTCAAGTAACAAAAAACATATGTGCTGAGAGCGCGCGCCCTGTGCGCTCCCAGCACACATGTGCGGTACTCACGGAAAGGTCCCAGTCCGCTCTTTCGATCGGGACCTTTCCCGATCATGTGACCGCCGTGACGACGCGTCATGGCGGTCACATGATCCCTAAACCACGCCCCACCCGCCCTGCCTCCCGGTGTCTGAAACTCTTAAAGGACCGGGAGGCGCCGGCCGGAAGGGGCTAATATCTGCGTGGGTGGATGTCGCCAAACGCAGACAGTGAGTTTGGGGACATGCACCACACCCACACAGATATCAAATTGGGAACAGCGGCTGTGTCCATGCAGCTGCTGGGTCACAATTGACATGAATGGGACTGCCTGCACAGAACACCTGTGCATCCCCTGCAAGCAAGTATGACCCTTGCATGTGCTTACGTATGCCCGTGTAAATGAGGCCTCGGTGAGCACACAAGATCGCCGATCTTAGACAGCTTTTAAAGTGTATCTAAACCCAAAACTTTTATTTCAAGGTTTGGATAGCGTGGTGAGAAGTTAAATCCTCGGTTTTTATCTCCGTCTCCATTCCCATTGATAAGACTATCTCTATGAATCCTATTGGCAATTATCACCGAGACAGAGAAAATCCAAAATTTTGGGTCACCAGAGCAGGAAGACAGAGCAAGTCTTCCAAATGGGGACACTAATTCTAGTTTGAAGACTTGATCTTCCTAATTTTGGAGAGAATTCTCTTCAACGACACAGATGCCAAAAACTTTCTAACAGGGGCTTGTTTTAAAGCTGAACTTCAACCTTCCCTTCAGTCTTGCACAGTTGTACAGATTCTTCCCCTGTACTGAAATTGCTTACTTTGATATCATTGCACACTGTGAGCGTCTCACAATGTGCATTAGAAGCTGCAGCAAGTCAGATAGAGCCCATATTATTTGCTCGCTCCTGAGGACATTCAGCATCATCTAGAGCTTTCTTCTGTTGCCTGACTGTCCCTGGTTTGCCCCTTCCATTCATTGGATTCCAATGCTTTCAATCATGGAGGCTTAGCATCACGTGTGGGTAAATTTCTAGTTACTGTGTGTGACCCCATCCACGTGATTTCCCTACACTTCCTGTCCCCAGAGACACAACAGAAAATGAGTGAAAATCTGAAATTAGATAGTGGTCTCTTAAACAATTGTCCCCATTTAAAGTTACTCCAGCCACTCCTTTTCTGGTGGTAACTGTACAATTTTAATAAAAATGGTAAAAAAAAATTAAAAAAAAAAAAAAAAAAAAAAAAACCTACTGACACCAGTGGTGGAACTATCAGGATTGCAAAAGTCGCACTTGCAACCGGGCCCTTCCGTTCCACCACTGGGCTCGGAGGGAAGGGCCTCACAGCCAGGGGTCAGGGGGGCCTTTCATGGTTTCTTGCAGCTGGGCCCTGAAGGTTCTAGTTATGCCTCTGGTGGAAACTGTTACCATGACCAGTAGTGAGGAGTTCTAACCCCTTACTGCTATCCAAAACTAGAAAACAACATTATGGACAAGTTGAATTCCAACCAAAAAACATGTTAATGTTTCCAAACAGTTGTTTTTACGAACATTTTCTTATTTCGAAGGGTGTTCAAGTCAAACTGGGACTTTTAATTTTACAGGTATAAAAAGGGACGGTAGTGTGGCTGTACTACACGTAGTGGTAAGTGGCAAGTGTGTCCTATTGCTGATGGGTGGTGCACATCGCAGGCCAGTTCAGAGAGCTTTAATCAAGATGGCAGACAACAGTGTTAGTGCGTGCATGGGACAGCGTGTGCTGATGAAGCTTGTTGTGAATGAAGGAGTAAAACCCGCGGATATCTACAGAAGACTTCCAGCACAGTCCGGTGATGATGAGAGGCTCTGCCGCAGTAAGACATCTGAATGGTGTAAACATTTTAAAGATGGGCGTACGTCCATCAAAAATGATCCCGGCCGTGGTGGTTTCCCAGCCCACAGCAGTCATTCCTGTGAACATTCAGCACATGGAATGCCTAATCCTGGATAATCAATGCATAAGCTGCTGTGAAATCGCACAAGAGATGAATCTTTCTGTGGGAACGGTGAACACAATGACAAAGTGAAGCAGGCTGTCCTAGGATGGTTCAGGCGTATTGACAAATCTTTCTATGCTGAAGCTTTCCAGGCATTAGTTAATCACTGGGATAAGTGTATAAATGTAGCTGGGGAGTATGTTGAAAAATAAATGCAGTTTCCACTCCTTGAAATTTGTTCTTTTATCGTATAAACTCAAAAGTCCCGGTTTGACTTGAACGCCCCACGTACAATGGGGCAAAAAAGTATTTAGTCAGCCACCAATTGTGCAAGTTCTCCCACTTAAAAAGATGAGAGAGGCCTGTAATTGGCATCATAGGTAGACCTCAACTATGAGAGACAAAATGAGAAAAACAAATCCAGACAATCACATTGGCTGATTTGGAAAGAATTTATTTGCAAATTATGGTGGAAAATAAGTATTTGGTCACCTACAAACAAGCAAGATTTCTGGCTCTCACAGACCTGTACCTCTTCTTGAAGAGGCTCCTCTGTCCTGCACTCATTACCTGTATCAATGGCACCTGTTTGAACTTGTTATCAGTATAAAAGACACCTGTCCACAACCTCAAACAGTCACACTCCAAACTCCACTATGGTGAAGACCAAAGAGCTGTCAAAGGACACCAGAAACAAAATTGTAGACCTGCACCAGGCTGGGAAGACTGAATCTGCAATAGGCAAGCAGCTTGGTGTGAACAAATCAACTGTGGGAGCAATAATTAGAAAATGAAAAACATACAAGACCACTGATAATCTCCCTCGATCTGGGACTCCACGCAAGATCTCACCCCATGGGGTCAAAATAATCACAAGAACGGTGAGCAAAAATCCTAGGAGCACACGGGGTGATCTAGTGAATGACCTGCAGAGAGCTGGGACCAACGTAACAAAGGCTACCATCAGTAACACACTATGCCGCCAGGGACTCAGATCCTGCAGTGCCAGACGTGTCCCCCTGCTTAAGCCAGTACATGTCCGGGCCCGTCTGAAGTTTGCTACAGAGCATTTGGATGATCCAGAAGAGGATTGGGAGAATGTCATATGATCAGATGAAACCAAAATAGAACTGTTTGGTAGAAAAACACAACTCATTGTTATTTGGAGGAGAGAGAATGCTGAGTTGCATCCAAAGAACACCATACCTACTGTGAAGCATGGGGGTGGCAACATCATGCTTTGGTGCTGTTTCTCCACAAAGGGACCAGGACGACTGATCCATGTACAGGACAGAATAAATGGGGCCATGTATCGTGAGATTTTGAGTGCAAACCTCCTTCCATCAGCAAGGGCATTGAAGATGAAACGTGGCTGGGTCTTCCAACATGACAATGATCCCAAACATACCGCCCGGGCAACAAAGGAGTGGCTTCGTAAGAAGCATTTCAAGGTCCTGGAGTGGCCTAGCCAGTCTCCAGATCTCAACCCAATAGAAAACCTTTGGAGGGAGTTGAAAGTCCGTGTTGCCCAGCGACAGCCCCAAAACATCACTGCTCTAGAGGAGATCTGCATGGAGGAATGGGCCAACATACCAGCAACAGTGTGTGCCAACCTTGTGAAGACTTACAGGAAACGTTTGACCTCTGTCATTGCCAACAAAGGATATATAACAAAGTATTGAGATGAACTTTTGATATTGACCAAATACTTATTTTCCACCATAATTTGCAAATAAATTCTTTCCAAATCAGCCAATGTGATTGTCTGGATTTTTTTTTCTCATTTTGTCTCTCATAGTTGAGGTCTACCTATGATGCCAATTACAGGCTTCTCTCATCTTTTTAAGTGGGAGAACTTGCACAATTGGTGGCTGACTAAATACTTTTTTGCCCCACTGTATATACGTACATGGGGGCAGCTGTACCGGCTTGTCATAGGTGGAGGCTCTGCTTGGGCAGTGACTGTTCCACTTAAGTCTGTGTCTGCTCACACTGTAAAATCCCCTGTGTGTCAATCTCTACTCTTAGCAGTCCTTCAGCATGGATTCTCATTGCATTTTACTGACGGATCTAGCATCTAGGAGACTCTAAGGCTCACTTGTAGCATGACTCCCCAAGTGGTGAAGGAAGGCTTCCCCGACAGTCACTAAATTTCCCCCTTCCCTGTAGCTATGTCCCGAGACTCATCGCTGCTCAGCCAGATGGCCAGAGCTCGTGAACCCGGAAGGAAAACCGGGTGATGATGGAAGCCTCTACAGTGGTGAAAGCGTGCCACTGGAGGGCTTCGTATTAAAGTTTTGCATCATGTGCTAGTATGCGATGAATACTAGCACATTATGCCCTTACCTTGCAGATTTTTTAAAAAAATAAAAACGTAATTTTTTCAAAATTCAGGAAGTCAGGTGACTTTACCAAGTGCGAAGATCCATTATTGATCATCGTTGGAAGGCTGGCCCATCGCTCGTTCTCCAGTTCTTCCATCACCTGGTTCATGGCGCTCTTTAACCACGTGTCCACAGACACCCCAATCTGCCGTAAGAGATCCAGGCGAGCTTCTGCCTTCAGCTTTATAATCTGTTGGATAACCAGAAGAAAGAAGAAAAATTTAGGTTGGTCTTGTATTGTAACAAAGGTATCTGAATATTTATCACTTGGCTGTGGACAACAAACAAACCCAAACTAGAGAAATTATACCTGCAGGCTTATTAAGTACAAAGATCTTTAACTCAGAACGGCCATTCACAATTCATTTTAAATCAAACCTGGGCTAGGCTTTGTACCCCCCATCCTCCACACCAGCAGTATATACTTACCTTTTCTTTGTTCTCCACCACTCTTAGTCCCGGGAGCTTAAAGAAATACCCTGTACTTCCGGGTATAGAGGAACATGTGACTTGGCCACATGACAGGGCTGTCACATGGAACGTCCATAGCTCTGTGTAAGTTACAACTCCAGCAACTGTCATCTCACACAGGGGTTTCCTTTCACTCTCAGTGATTGAATGGAGATAGTGCTGGTGCTTGGCCATGGGGAGACCAGCAGTCCGCTGTGCAGTTCTGTATTCATTAATAAAAGTAATTTGTGGGGGGGCGGTGAGGTGGTCCATGACAGCGCATGTTCTCTCGGCTCTCTCTCTCCTCATTGGACAGACAGGCAGCAGCGGAAAGCATTGTCTATTGCTGCTGTCAATCACAGCCAGTGAGGAGAAGAGCAGGGGGCAGGGCAGAGCCACGCTCTGTGTGTAAATGGACACACGGAGTCGGCTCAGAAGCAGATATGTATGAGTCTTATGCTGTTCCCTACACCCAAATCTTGGTCTGGTTTTGCTCTTCCTCTAGTCTGGATGTAATTTCTTGCAGTCTACATCCTCTCTCCACCTTATATATTGATTGAGTGTTTTGGACTAATTGTATAGCCTAAAAGCTTGTTCCTACAATATCTCCTTTATGCTATATACTTGTATTGTTTTTTTGTTTCTCCAATAAACGTTATGGAAAAAAAAAAAAAGATATGTATGAGTGCCCCCATAGCAAGCAGCTCGCCATGGGGTCACTCGGCAGGGAGGAGGGGCCAGGAGTGTGCAGGGGGGGGGGGTGGACCCCAGAAGAGGAGGATTGGGACTGCTCTGTGCAAAATAATTGCACAGAGCAGATAAGTATGACACTATTTACCATTTTTTTGGTTTTTTAAAATAAGAATGCTTCCTTTGTAATCATTTTAAGCATTGCAGCAACAGCTGCTTTATTCCTTTAATGTGCTATTCATTTTTTGAGTGCCTTGAAGTGAACCTGTGCTTTGCCTTGCACAGAGAAATGAAAAGTTCACTTTAATAAGAGATCAGCAGAAGAGATTTTTTTTAGCTAAATAAGGGGTTTGGAATCTGAAAATATTTGTAATTTTTTATCAACTTGTAAATCTGTATTTTTGCTTCTCCAGTATTTTACAGGAAATAAAAACAGCAGATGTAGCCGGACCGATGATTGCCCTGAAGCAACACCGACACAATCGGGAGGTTAAAGAATGGAAGATGACATAAAAACGCTGTCTGCAGTCTGTCCTGAACTCCGCTGATGGTGCAATTTCAGCCAGCGCTGTTCATGCAGAAAAATCCATCACAGACACTTTAGCTTTGTAGACAAACATGCTAATGTCTGCTCACATGGGCACCAGAGATGAGACATTCTATAAAGATTTATGCCATTCAGGGAGCCCTGGGCAGACATGCTGAAATCAAATGAGTGAAACGTCGGAGGAGGAAAAATTGGTAAGGTCATACCATAGTGGTACCGAAGTCTCCATGTACCCAACTCAAAACTACTATGAGAACATTATGAGAATAATATACCCATTATGAATAATAAAGTATTATAAGAACAATATATTTAACAAATATGTATTATGACTACTTCAAAATTTAACCACCTCCAGTCCCGGCCTTTCCTGGCACTTTTTATTCACATGTAACAATCAGTATGTTTTGCTAGAAATCATTATATAATTTTTTTTAATATAGAGGCCCTAGAGAAAAATATTTGTGGGTTTTGTAATATTTTATGTCACACAGTATTTGCGCAACAGTTTTTCAAACACAATTTTTTTGGGAAAAAAATATACTTATTTGAATTTTAATGCCCCAAAAAAATACATAACCCAATTTTTTTGTAAAATATAAAAACGTAAATTTGATTATCCACAGGCAATGCTTTAAAAGCCTTTATAGGTTACTACTTTTGATTTACAAGGAGGTCTGGTGCTAGAACTACCAGGGGCGGACTGACCATTTGGAAACTCGGGCACTGCCCGAGGGCCCGGGGTCAGTAGGGGGCCCCATGAGATGCCCCTGGTACCTTTTCCATAGGCTTTTTTGAGTTTGGGCAAGGACACAGGGGCCCCATGATCCCCTATTGCCCGGGGGCCCCATGAGTTGTCAGTCCACCCCTGAGAACTACTATTCTTGATCTGACGTTTCTGGTGATACCTCACATGTGTGGGACGCTATTTGTACGCTGTTGCTTTCATTTTTTTTGATCACTTTATTGCTGTCACAAGGAATGTAAACATCCTTGTGACAGCAATAGGCATGTGATAGCAATAGGCACGTGACAGGTACTCTTTCGGGGTCTATAAGACCCCAAATCCCTCCTCTACACCAAGGCTGGATTCACACTTGAGCAATTTGTAACTTGGAGATCCAAATGAGTGAAACGTCGGAGGAGGAAAAATTGGTAAGATCATACCATAGTGTTACCGAAGTCTCCATGTACCCAACTCAAAACTACTAAAAGACCATTATGAGATTAATATACCCATTATGAACAATAAAGTATAATAACAATATATTAACAAATATGTATTATGACTACTTCAACTTTTAACCACCTCCAGTCAGGCCTTTTCAGGCACTTTTTGTTCACATTGAACAATCAGTATTTTTTGCTAGAAAACATTATAGAATTTTTTTTTTTTAAAGTAGAGGCCCTAGAGAAAAAAAATTGGTGGGTTTTGTAATATTTTATGTCACACGGTATTTGTGCAACTTTTTTTCAAACACAATTTTTTTTGGGGAAAAAATATACTTGTTTGAATTTTAATGCCTCAAAAAAATACATAACCCAATTTTTTTGTAAAATATAAAAATGTAAATTTGATTATCCACAGGCAATGCTTTAAAAGCCTTTATAGGTTACTACTTTTGATTTACAAGGAGGTCTGGTGCTAGAACTACTATTCTTGATCTGATGTTTCTGGTGATACCTCACATGTCTGGGACGCTTTTTCATTTGTACGCTGTTGCTTTCATTTTTTTTTGATCACTTTATTGCTGCCACAAGGAATGTAAACATCCTTGTGACAGCAAAAGGCATGTGATAGCAATAGGCACTTGACAGGTACTCTTTAGAGGTCTATAAGACCCCAAATCCCTCCTCTGCACCAAGGCTGGATTCACACTTGAGCAATTTGTAGCTTGGAGATCCAAATGAGTGAAACGTCGGAGGAGGAAAAATTGGTAAGGTCATACCATAGTGTTACCGAAGTCTCCATGTACCCAACTCAAAACTACTATAAGAACATTATAAGATTAATATACCCATTATGAACAATAAAGTATTATAATAACAATATATTAACAAATATATATTAGGACTACTTCAACTTTTAACCACCTCCAGTCCAGGCCTTTCCTGGCACTTTTTGTTGACATTGAACAATCAGTATTTTTTGCTAGAAAACATTATAGAATTTTTTTTAAAGTAGAGGCCCTAAAGAAAAAAATTGGTGGGTTTTGTAATATTTTATGTCACACAGTATTTCCGCAACTTTTTTTCAAACACATTTTTTTTGGAAAAAAATTTACTTATTTGAATTTTAATGCCAAAAAAAAATACATAACCCAATTTTTTTGTAAAATATAAAAACGTAAATTTGATTATCCACAGGCAATGCTTTAAAAGCCTTTACAGGTTACTACTTTTGATTTACAAGGAGGTCTGGTGCTAGAACTACTATTCTTGATCTGACGTTTCTGGTGATACCTCATGTGTGGGACGCCATTTCATTTGTACGCTGTTGCTTTCATTTTTTTTTGATCACTTTATTGCTGTCACAATGTAAACATCCTTGTGACAGCAATAGGCACGTGATAGCACGTTTTGGGGAAAAAAAAAAAACATTTATTTGAATTTTAATGCCAAAAAAAAATAACTACATAACCCAATTTTTTTTGTAATATATATAAAAAACGTTGTAAATTTTACTATCCATAAGCAATGCTTTAAAAGCCTTTACAGGTTACTACTTTTGATTTACAAGGAGGTCTGCTGCTAGAACTACTACTCATGATCTGACATTTCTGGTGATACCTCACATGTCTGGGACGCTATTTTATTTGTACGCTGTTGCTTTCATTTTTTTTATCACTTTATTGCTGTCACAAGGAATGTAAACAGCCTTGTGACAGCAATAGGCACGTGATAGCATGTTTTGGGGAAAAAAAAAAAATTTATTTTAATTTTAATGCCAAAAAAAATAAATACATAACCCAATTTTTTTGTAATATATAAAAATTTTGTAAATTTTACTATCCATAAGCAATGCTTTAAAAGCCTTTACAGGTTACTACTTTTGATTTACAAGGTCTGCTGCTAGAACTACTCATGATCTGACATTTCTGGTGATACCTCACATGTGTGGGACGCTATTTTATTTGTACGCTGTTACTTTCATTTTTTTTTATCACTTTATTGATGTCACAAGGAATATAAACATCCCTTTGACAGCAATAGGCATGTGATAGCAATACGCACGTGACAGGTACTCTTTAGGGGTCCCCAAAAGACCCCAAATCCCTCCTCTACACCAAGGCTGGATTCACACTTGAGCAATTTGTAGCTTGGAGCTCCAAAAACGCTCAAACTTAAAAAAATCAACTGTTCTCTATGGTGTCTGTTCACATCTGATCACACAAACAGGCACCTTAGACAACAATTTTATTTATATATATATATATATATATATATATATATATATATATATATAAAAAATATATATTTTTTTTTAAGTTTGAGCATTTTTG